AACAAAGCCATTCTGTGCTATAAAATATATTTCCAATTTCTGTATTTATTCTTATATATTATTACATGTATGATTTTGTTTTTGTTTCTGTTAATATATATTGTAATAAATCATGCTTGTCAGTTAATATAATGTTGTGTTTATTTAATCAAATAATGACTCCTGTATATAAATCATATATTGCATGTATATATCATTACAGGATCGTATCTTTTGTTGCGTCAGTTTTCTCTATGACCAAAGTCTAATTGATACTGCCTACCTGGTGCAGCTAACCCGCGATATTTACTTAATGATAATAATGATTTGTATATTGAAACTTTGATTCTAAGCGGTGAAACCGTTGGATATCATATAGAATGAATAAATAAAGCTTAATCAATTGGAATAATTTATGATATTGTTACAAGACAAAACTTGCATGTGTAGTCTTTGAATGTCAATTTGACAGATGTCTATGTTAAGCTATCTAGCTTAATGTGAAATACTTTACAACTGTTTTTTTAACTGTTTATACACTATAATGTTATTTCAGAAGAACATGTACGCAACACTATCAAGTTATTGCAGATATACATTTGACATAATTATAATGATAAAAATAGAGTAATCGGAAATGGGATCAATTTTACATTCCCTTTTGATGTGCTAATAATCTTTTATAGATACGTGTATGTGTAGACAAAAGATTGGACATTTCGTTGCTACGGAGGACTTTCCACTTTAAAATGGAAGTTTTGGGACGTAAAGAAACTTCTGCTATATCATGCCAGCCATGTCAGCGTGACGGTGATACTGCACAAGCAGAGGGTTATTGTGAGAATTGTAACGAGTTTATGTGTTCAACATGTATCATGGCACACCGGAAGTTGGCTGTTACCACAAATCACTTGATCAAATCCAAATATGAAATGCCGACATATCAGACACAAAGCGACCCGTGCACTGAACTATGTGATGTTCATGTAAACGAAATAGTAAAGTTTTATTGTCAAGAGCACGACAGCGTTGGTTGTGGAGATTGTATGGTACTTCAACATACCTCTTGCAAGGTTAAGCTCGTTTCAGATGTATCTTGTAACTATGACAACAATGTGGAACCCGATTTAATTAAACATAAAATTGATATCCTCTGCAAAAACCTTGCTTTATGTAAAAAAGAAATAAAATGCAGTTTGAAAGCAACGGATGAAATAAAGACCGAGGTCGTCAAAGAAATAAAGCTGTTCCGAAAAGAAATGGATACTTATCTAGACAAAATGGAAGCAGACCTTTTACAAAAAGTTAATGAAATGAATGATAGAGATGTATCTTCACATAAAAAGCTTCAAGATCAGTGCGAGGCATTATCGGATGAAATGAAAGAATTTAAAAGAAAACTGGATCAGTGCAAAGACAAGGTCAACAATTTGTTTGTGACATCTAAGCGTGTACAGAGAAAATTGGAAAAATGTCAAAAAATAAATGAAACCATTTCAGCCAAGTGGCAGATCAACACTTAAAATCTTTAAGTATCTGAAAATTTTGATACTTTGAAGAAACATAACACACCGCTTGGTAGTCTTGCAACACAAGTAAAAACATTTTCGGGACAATGCAAGAAATAATGACATGAAGGCACATTTTGTTTACAAAGTAAATTGCCAGGCAGAAAACGAAAGAAATTGTTGTATAACAGGAATAACAATTATATCTGAAGCTGAAATTCTGTTAGCAGACATCACCAACAAATCGTTAAAAATTCTAAATTACAGAGATAATAATGTCACCTCAACATTGAAATTGTCAGATTTCCCCAAAAACATAACAACAATCAGTTTAACATCTGCTGCAGCATGTTTACCAAATAAAGGCAAACTCTTTTTTGTGAATACGCAAAATGGTTTAACTGAAAGTCACAATCTGAATGTCAGGAAAGGATGTGCTGGAATAGATCATCGCAATGGTGTATTGGCAGTGTCCTTTATTAATCCTCCCGCTGTTCAGGTATTGGATATGGAAGGTCATATCCTTCATGAGGTTAGAGATACAAGCATGTTAAAATATCCAACATATGTAAATCTGAGTACAGATAATAAATATATGTTCGTGTCTGACAAAGACAATCGTGCCGTGTATGAATTCACACTCCCGGGAAAATTGATATCTCAAAATAAAACCGAAAATAATGATACACCAGCAGGCTTAGCAGTTACAAATTGTGGATGTGTTCTTGTTTGTTATCCGATTAAAAGCGCTCCGCTCGTAGATATACCTGGTGCGAGAGTGATTTTGCCTTTCTTTGTGCAACATGTATTGGAGCCATTTTGTATCAACATTTCTGAAGAGCAAAATAAAATGTTTATCAGTGGATTACCGACCTCTGTGGACCGCAATTTCATTAAAATATTTGAACTTAAGTAACAGTTAGGGTTGTGTCACAAAATAAATATGCTTGTATAATTCATTTGTATTGCTTTTGTCCGTGCCAAAGTGAGATAAAATTAACAGTATTGTTGTATCTACAATACTATCACCATGTTAATCTTTATTGAGACACTTTACACTTTACGTAAAAGGAGGAAAAGATTAATAAGAATAGTCACATAGATAAATATTTTGTAAAAAGCATTAATAGCGTTAATTCAGTGTTATAAACTATGTTGTCAATATGTTGTACTTTTTTTCCCTTACTTTATATACTTTTGTAAACAGTAATTGCATTACAGTTGAGAGGAAAAATAAAAGACGTAAAGTGTTACACAATTATGTTCAGTATTTAATTTTCAATTCAAATGTCATTTCTTATTGTTTCTTTGAGAATTGCATGCCGTCAGTGGAAATCCGCTTGAATATTTTTCTTTGATTTATTTTAAATTATCATTTATTTGCATTTTTTAAAGTTAGTTTTAGATGAGTGGGTTTAAATGAAAATATGTTTAACAAAATGAAAATAGTTTTAACAAATAGATTTAATTATTATAGTTTCGACCTTGATATTTTATATTTTACAAGTCAAACACAGCAAAATATCATTATCGTTTATAAACTATCATTATCGTGTATTTTATTTTCGAGTTCTTTGTAACATTAAAGAATTATGTTGAATTTCAATTAAAGTATGTTACCACCATTATTCTTATTCTGTTTCTTGCTTTGATTTTGATAATAAGTTAAAACTATTTATGTTGGTTTATTTTCATTTAATTAAGGAAGACCCTACCGGAAAATGGGCCCGGAAAAATAACATTTTGTCAATTCATTGACAATAACTTTGATAATGGACTGCTATATTGTACTTATATAGTGACTTAAAATGCTAATGTGTTTTTCCCGCTATCTTAGGGAGTCGCCTGCTAGTATAAATTGAATATCTGCTTCTGATTTAAATATTTATCCATTTACCCCTCTTATAATGCATATTTCAATTGACCAAGCTTTTTATTCAAGTTAACTTTACTGATCAGGAGAAGTAACTGCCACGAAAAGTTAGAAGTGTATCAGCAACGGTAACTTCTCCTGATTAGGGGGCAGACATTTAGCCGCGTTATGCTTGTGAACTTATATTTTTGTTCTATTTTATAATTTCCTCAGTACAATCAGACGTTTAACTAAACTTTAATGAACTGTTCAAAATAACATATTTTGATGAAAATTGAAAAATTTATCAGTTTTCAAAGGTTATAAAAATAAAGGTAATTTCAAAGACCCATTATTTTTACTGTATGGAATTCCAATTTAAATTTATTACGCTTATTAGATTATAACATTAAAACTGCTAATGTAATTCAACATATGTTGACCTAGGTAGTGTACTATACTTCAAACTATGTCATAAGATCAATTTATGAACAAAAAATAGAACTTTGATAAAATATTATAAGCACATATCTCACAATATTTTATTTATGTTCTGTACAAAAAACATAATAAAATTCAGTGTCATATTTAAAGTATGAAATCACCTTTAATTGTGAGAATGAATATTAATCATGAAAAATATATTATTGATATCTTATATTCATTCTCAATCTTTTGTAAATTCTATATTTAACATATTTCTTTCGTCTTTGCTTTAAATAATCTTGTAGACGTTTTCATTTGGTTAACATTTTTCGGAAGTGTGTTAATGAAACATTGACAAAAACATACGATTAAATTTTGAAGAAATTTTAGAATGTTTCTTTTTTGTCGAGAAACAAATCAAGAAAATTGTCTAGTTTATTACATAAGTCTATATTATAATTTTGGTTATATCAGGCTAAGTAAACAGTATGGATTTCTTTAAAATATCAAATAAATTTAAAGGCATTTAACGTTCTTACGGAACGTTGGTACAAAATGTAACCGTTCGTGACTGACATAAAGCATGGAAGGGCATTCCACCAATAAAGCTGAAAAGTTGCCACATTACCTTTAATAGAATATAATTATACTGTAAAATAGGCAATTTAACATTTTGTGTTGATATACCAAAATGTATAGAATATGTATTTTGTAACTGTTACATGTGTCGATGTAGGGATAACAATTAATAAAATATTTATTTATTTATATATTTTATATATTGTAGTTAGACAAAATACAGCAAAGTCATTTAAACAAACAATAAATGTTTATAACATTGATTTATTTGAAAATTTATTACACAATTTAAAAACTTATTCAACTTCAACACTAAAATATATGTGTAATGAACTTTACGTGCTTTCACCTTGGAAATGCCAATCTAACATACGTCTATTGAAAGCAAATATTTCTTTTTTTTCAACCATGAAACAAAATATCACCATTTTCCAACTGGTTTACAAATATAAAATTTTCTTCCGTTTGTTCTCTTTACAAAATACCAAATGTTCCCGCTATGTATAACCAAAACAAAAAAGAAGACAGATTTTTAACCATAGAACAAAGTAATTTGAGATATTTTGCTAACAATAATTATGCCAAATGTTAACACTGTCAATTGTTTATTCAGAACTTATTCAAATATCATAAGTTTTCTTAAAATTAATAAAACTAAATATCATGACTTTTTCTAACCATAACATCAAATGTTTACACTTTTCTTGAAAAATAATTAGATACTGTACATGTTCAATAATTTAACTACACTTAAGTTTTTAAACTAAAATTTTATGATGGAAATTAACTCAAAACAAAATCTTAAAAACTTTACCTTACTTGTAAAGGAGGATAACTAGTATAAATATGTACATAATGACATGGCAGGGTTGTCTCCCTTCTAATATAAAACAAGATTTCGTATAATGCCTGTTTTAATAATTCAACTTTTCATATTTTGAAAACGCAATATCTGTTCAAACAAGCCCGGCGTCTTTTGCCATTCCGTAAAATATTGTGTTTGGATTCTGTAACAGAGCTTGTGGAGCGTCAACCTCTTTTATGCAGCCACCTTCCATGACAACAACTCTAAAAGATCGAAACATTTATGTTATTTGTATAGACAAAAGTATTATTAGTTTAAACATATTTTATTGCAGCATGTACAAGTAACGTTATATCAAATGATAAATATACAACAAAAGAAAATATGTTTGGAAACAAGTTATTGTACCATTAGCTCGTTCAGAACGAAATTGTTGTTGTACATATTATTGCTACATGTTTATACATTATATATAGTTAATTAATGGCAAAGTTATGAACTGAACACACAGTCTGTCTCTAAACGAAAGGGCTGATTGAAGCTTTAAAAACAACAAGGCTTTCCATATTGAGTTGTAGAGGAGGAGGATAAAAACATTGACAAACTAATCGAAATGTCTGCCAGATTTAAGAAATATAGCTAAATTGCTTTGTGCTAGGATTTCATTCAAAATTGATGTACATATATCTATTTGAAAATTTACATCACATTTAACAGCACACTGATTTTTAACTGATTTTTCATAGTCAGAAAATTAGAAATTTACATAAAATGTCATACCTATCATAGTCCATCACAGTGTGAAGTCGGTGAGCTATTGTCAAGACGGTGCATTCCTTAAATTGTGAGCGAATTGTCTCTGGAGCATCAAAAAACGTGACTTCTCATTTTATAATTTTGAAACAAAAATAAATGACCGCATTAAACACAGTGAATTTTGAAGGTTTTTCAATGTATTATTTAAATGTTTTAGAATTTATGTTAAGTGCTTTCTGTTTTAGATATTATATAAGCATTGATTTCGGATAACATTGAACGCCAGTCGTTCAAGTCGTCTTCTTTCATTATAAAAAACACGACAAAATACTATAGTATTTCCGACAATTTATTTGTATGTGTAGTCTATTTGATAAAATCAACATTTCGAATGATCAATTAAAGAGTCTCTTTTAAGGCGTTTTGTTGTGTTTTAATTTTATATGCATTTTTATTACTAAAGTCTTTATATCAATACACTATCATCATTGAGGATTAAGGAAACTATACATACAATTGACAACCGCAATTTCTCTTAGAAATAAATTGAACATTATTAATAATGGCAAGGTCCTATCTAAAGATGAAAGTACGATATTATCAGACTTGGAAATAACCTGGTCACTTTACAATACAATATACTAGACTAAAGGTTCACCTTAGTTCAATATTTAAGATAAACTGCTCTGTTTTCTTCTGGAAATAAGATTGAGAATCATATTAATTTAAATGGATTTTCTTTAATCTATTAATAATACATTTTATAATTATAGCACTTCTGTAACATCCCTATTGTCATTAACAATTGTGACCTTGATATAAACTTTATTAACCTAGCTGGCAATTTACGAAGCAATCTTAATTAAAAAAACTCCAGAAACTTGCTGTATTATAAATTCTATAGAATCTTCTTGAAATATTCTATGACCGTATATTAACGATCGTATGTAGAGCTAAAAAAAGTAAAAGCTTGTTAACACTCTAGTGGCTGCAATTTTCATTCAAATATTCTTGAAATGTGTCAGGATGGTTGTTTTGATAATTTCTAGGTCAAGTTCGAAGATAGGTTATCTCCGGTCATAAACTATGTCACAGGAGCTAAAAATAGATAAAGCTTGTTAACACTCTACTGGCTGAAGTTTTCATCCAAATATTCTGGAAATTTGCCAGGAAGGTTGTTTTGATGATTTCTAGATCAAGTGTGCAGATGGGTCACCTGGGTTCAAAAACTAGGTCACAGGAGCTAAAAATTGAAAAGCTTGTAAACACTCTAGTGGCTGCAGTTTTGATACAAATATTCTAGAAATTTGTCAGGAAGGTTGTTTTGATGATTTTTAGGTCAAGTTCGAAGATGGGTCATCTCCGGTGAAAAACAAGGTCACTGGAGCTTTAAATAGATAAAGCTTGTTAACACTCTAGTGGCTGCTGTTTTCATCCAAATATTCTGGAAATTTGTCAGGAAGGTTGTTTTGATAATTTCTAGGTCAAGTTTGAAGACGGGTTATCTCCGGTCAAAAACAAGGTCACCGTAGCTAAAAATAGATAAGACTTGTTAACACTCTACTGGCTGCAGTTTTGAAACAAATATTCTGGAAATTTGTAAGGAAGGTTGTTTTGATGATTTCTAAGTCAAGTTCGAAGATGGGTCATCTCCGATCAAAAATAAGGTCACAGTAGCTAAAATTAGAAAAGCTTGTTAACACTCTAGTGGCTGCAGTTTTGATCCACATATTCTTGAAGTTTGTTAGGAAGGTTGTCTTAATGATTTCTAGATCATTTTCAAAGATGGGTCATCTCTGGTCAAAAATTAGGTCACAGTAGCTAAAATTTGAAAAACTTGTTAACACTCTAGTGGCTGCAGTTTTGATCCACATATTCTTGAAATTTGTTAGGAAGGTTGTCTTAATGATTTCTAGACCAATTTCAAAAATGGGTCATCTCTGGTCAAAAATTAGGTCACTGGAGCTTAAAATAGAAAAAGCTTGTTAACACTCTAGTGGCTGCAGTTTTGATCCACATATTCTGGAAATTTGTTAGGAAGGTTGTCTTAATGATTTCTAGATCAATTTCAAAGATGTGTCATCTCTGGTCAAAAATTGGGTCACTGGAGCTAAAAATAGAAAAAGCTTGTTAACACTCTAGTGGCTGCAGTTTTCATCCAATATTCTGGAAATTAGTCAGGACGGTTGTTTTAATAATTTCTAGGTCAAGTTCGAAGACGGGTTATCTCCGGTCAAAAACTAGGTCACAGAAGCTAAAAATAGATAAAGCTTGTTAACAATCTACTGGCTGCAGTTTTCATCCAAATATTCTGGAAATTAGTCAGGACGGTTGTTTTGATAATTTCTAGGTCAAGTTCGAAGATAGGTTATCTCCGGTCAAAAAACTAGGTCACAGAAGCTAAAAATAGATAAAGCTTGTTAACACTCTACTGGCTGCAGTTTTCATCCAAATATTCTTGAAATTTGTCAGGAAGGTTGTTTTGATGATTTCTAATCCAAGTTCGAAGAAAGGTCACCTGGGGTGAAAAACTAGGTCACAGTAGCTAAAAATAGAACTAGGTCACAGTAACTAAAAATAGAAAAGCTTGTTAACACTCTACTGGCTGCAGTTTTGATCCAGATATCCTTGAAATCTGTCAGGAAGGTTGTCTTAATAATTTCTAGATGGGTCCTCTCTGGTCAAAAACTAGGTCACTGGAGCTAAAAAAAGTAAAAGCTTGTTAACACTCTAGTGGCTGCAATTTTCATTCAAATATTCTTGAAATGTGTCAGGAAGGTTGTTTTGATAATTTCTAGGTCAAGTTCGAAGACGTTTTATCTGAGGTCAAAAACTAGGTAACAGAAGCTAAAAATAGATAAAGCTTGTTAACATTCTACTGGCTGCAGTTTTCATCCAAATATTCTGGAAATTAGTCAGGACGGTTGTTTTGATAATTTCTAGGTCAAGTTCGAAGATGGATCATCTCCGGTCAAAAACTAGGTCACAGGAGCTAAAAATTGAAAAAGCTTGTTAACACTCAAGTGGCTGCAGTTTTGATACAAATATTCTAGAAATTTGTCAGGAAGGTTGTTTTGATGATTTTTAGGTCAAGTTCGAAGATGGATCATCTCCGGTGAAAAACTAGGTCACTGGAGCTTTAAATAGATAAAGCTTGTTAACACTCTACTGGCTGCAGTTTTGATACAAATATTCTGGAAATTTGTAAGGAATGTTGTTTTGATGCTTTCTAGATCAAGTTTGAAGATGGGTCACCTGGGGTCAAAAACTAAGTCACAGGAGCTAAAAATAGAAAAAGCTTGTTAACACTCTAGTGTCTGCAGTTTTCATCCAAATATTCTGGAAATTTGTCAGGAAGGTTGTTTTGATGATTTCTAAGTCAAGTTCGAAGACGGGTTATCTCCGGTCAAAAACTAGAAGGTCAAAATCAAGGTCACAGTAGCTAAAATTAGAAAAGCTTGTTAACACCCTAGTGGCTGCAGTTTTGATCCACATATTCTGGAAATTTGTAAGGCAGGATGTCTTAATGATTTCTAGATCAATTTCAAAGATGGGTCATCTCTGGTCAAAAATTAGGTCACTGGAGCTAAAAATAGAAAAAGCTTGTTAACACTCTAGTGGCTGCAGTTTTGATCCACATATTCTGGAAATTTGTTAGGAAGGTTGTCTTAATGATTTCTAGATCAATTTCAAAGACTGGTCATCTCTGGTCAAAAATTAGGTCACTGGAGCTAAAAAAAGAAAAAGCTTGTGAACACTCTAGTGGCTGCCTTTTTCATCCAAATATTCTGGAAATTAGTCAGGACGGTTGTTTTGATGATTTCTAGGTCAGGTTCGAAGACGGGTTATCTCCGGTCAAAAACTAGGTCACAGAAGCTAAAAATAGATAAAGCTTGTTAACAATCTACTGGCTGCAGTTTTAATCCAAATATTCTGGAAATTAGTCAGGACGGTTGTTTTGATAATTTCTAGGTCAAGTTCGAAGATAGCTTATATCCGGTCAAAAACTAGGTCACAGAAGCTAAAAATAGATAAAGCTTATTAACACTCTACTTGCTGCAGTTTTCATCTAAATATTCTGGAAATTTATCAGGAAGGTTGCTTTGATGATTTCTAGATCAAGTTCGAAGATAGTTTACCTGGGGTGAAAAACTAGGTCACAGGAGCTAAAAATAGAAAAAGCTTGTTAACAATCTATTGGCTGCAGTTTTGATACAAATATTCTGGATATTTGTCAGGAAGGTTGTTTTGATGATTTCTTAGTCAAGTTTGGAGATGGATCATCTTCGATCAAAAACTAGGTCACAGGAGCTAAAAATAGAAAAATCTTATTAACTCTCTAGTTGCTGCAGTTTTGATCCAAATATTTTGGAAATTTGTCAGGAAGGTTGTTTTGATGAATTCTTAGTCAAGTTCGAAGATGGGTCATCTCCGGTCAAAAACTAGGTCACAGGAGCTAAGAATAAAAAAAGCTTGTTAACACTCTAGTGGCTGCAGTTTTGATCCA